TCCTTCATTGTCCGGTGTTTTCTCATAACGAGATTCAGATAACTTCTGAAAACTTTCTTTTGTTTTTCATTAGGTATAACTATTCCATCAGTAAAACTTTTTACCCAAGGTTTCTTAAATTCATTCGTTACGTCATGTCCACTAGCTAATCGAATATAATCTTCGACGCCTATCTTATCTTTAGAGTAACCCATAAACGTTTTCTTTTCTTTTAGAATACCGTCGGAATTAGAATGATATTTTATTTTACTTTTGGCGCTAAATATAAACCAAATATGATTCCACCATCACCATAATCATTCTTCCCTTTGCTATATTCGTTTTCAGACACCAACCCAGCTTCATTTAATTTATCCCAATTACTAGACGAAATGTATAAACTATCAGTATCTGTATAGTATATTTCCGGCTTATAAAATCCATCTATTACGTGAATGAAATTGTTTACTGTGAGATAATATGAATGCACCTAAATGAGCGGGTGTTAATCTAGTAAATCCTTTGGAGGAACAAACTCTTTTTCTTCTTCATTGATCTCAACTATATATTGACTATCATTTACTTTTTCATAGCTTTTGACGTGTGAATCGAAGTTGGCTTTAAAAGTCGATTCACTCCATAGATGTCTCGATGTATTTATATCCTTCTGAATAGATTTACCGTATAAGGAATTACCTAATAATTTCATGCAATTACTAGCAACCATATCTCCTTCTTTTTTGTACTTATTCCTTAATTCCTTCAAAATTAAAATATAATCTCTGTATGGTGGAGTTTTAAAATTTTCTTCGTATACCATACAATCTAATATTCTAATAAGTTTACCACCTGATTTCACTATTTCTTGAATATCAACCGATGTTAAAACGTGACAGAAACCATTTCTGAATCTGATTTTAGTGCCAGTTTCCTTCTTACCTATTCTATTCGTAAAAGTTATTTTATTTTTAGCTGGTATGGGTTGAAAGAACATGTTTTTGGGATATTCAAACCAGACTTTTAAAATAGCAGTTCTAGGTCTGAATTTTTGTTTATTGAAGAGTTTTACAAATTCTTTTTCTTCTTCTGGTAGAAACGCTCTTGCACTTTCCGCTTTAGGATATTCACCTTCTGTCATGGCGGAAGCGTACAACCCATTAGCGTCAAATGCCATCAGTTTAGAATAGTCCAGTTCTTTGAGTTTAGCGTGAACTTCCGTTTTATCATTTGGGTTAACACTGTATTCTTTGAATAAATCTATTATTCCTTCAGTGTCACTTTCATTGTATTCTTTTAATATGGCGCAGATCTCATTCATTTTATCCGTTTCAAATGATTTTCGATTTGCCGAAACTCTTCCTCCTTTAATACTTTGTCTGATAAAATATCTTATAAAAGGGTGAGTATGCGAGTAAACTTTTTCTACGTTTTGTTTTTCCGTATGTTTCGGAACCATTCTAGTAGTTTCATACCATTCTTCTTCAACCATTTCTTTATCGTAATGATATAAATAATACCAACCGTTAAAGATAAAGAAGGAGCCGTTAGATTATTGGACACGTTTTGGCAGACAGTTTTTTTCATTGCTGGATTGTATTTTATCAAACAAGCTCCGAGACATAACGTATCTCTTTTAGCGTAAGGTTCCCATTCGGGTCTTAAAGATTCCCAATTATCTTTAGTGTATTTTGCAATATTAACATCCTCGATCTTTCTCAAATTCATCTAATCTACCGATGAATTTGAGAAAGATCGAGGATGTTAATATTGCAAAATGCCGCTAAACTAGATTTTTCATGTTGATAGGAACATGTTAAATTAATATTTTGCAAATAATTAGAGTTACCCTTTATTTCTTTCTGTCTTTTCCATTTTTTCTGTAAAATCTTCATCAGTGAATGAATTAGTTAAAGATAGAGACAGAATTCCTCTAGCTGTTTTTAAAGGGCATTGTGTTAGTTTTTTTACGTTTTTGATCATGATCCAGTTATCAAAACCACTGCAGTTATGGGAAATTAAGGTTAGTCTTTTCTGATCTACTTTTCCTAAACGTTGTAACATTTGATCTATACAATCTGTACCTACAAATATTTCTACTATATTAGTCATGAGTATGTTGTAATATTCTTCTGAAATGGGATCTGACGGCTTAAAATCTAGAGTCTCATTAAAATCACTTAAATCACTTAAATAATTATTATAATCATCTAATCTTTTCCTCAGTTTTTCCAAATTGACTAAAGTACAACAATAAGGAATGGCTTTATTCGTTTCTTTTTCGCAATAGGTTTCGCAATGCCATGCGTATAAACAATAATCGGGAATGGTTGGAAAAACGTTTAGTTTTAGAGGTGAAACTTGCGTTACCACATTATCATCTTCACAAGTTCTCCATACGTTTTCATCGTAATTATCTTCTATTTCTTTAATGCCCAAAGCTTTGTTATTTCTTCTTATCAAACAGAAATGTTCTTTGTGTAAATAAAAAACCCAATCTAATTCTTCGGTTACTTTCTTTGGTTGAAAATGTCTATGTTTGGGCATATAAATTTGAAAATTAGTATTAAATTTCTTATTGAATTCGCAGATTCTAGCAGTTGTCATAACTCCTTTTCTGTTTGATTTTGAAAAAGTGTTGATGAAATCTTGAAATTCTCTCGTGTAATCTTCGTTTAAAACACGATTAACGCACTTTACAAAGCAGCATCCATCGCTCGGTATATAACAATTTATACCGATATATTCTTTTATCTTTTTGAGTAGGCTAGCACCACTACCCTTTTTGATCTTTTTATTTCTTTGAAATTGTTTTTATGGAAAATCATTTTTCCTGTGAAATACCAATCGGAGGCATCCGATTTTTCATCCACTTCAGCGAAGAAATTGACAAAAGTTTTGGTATTAAAACCTACAAATTTCATGTCTTGTTTGTATTTTCCATCTTGAGTTATCTCTCCAACTATTTCAATTTGCCCTTTAAATGTTATAAATTCATCAGAGATAAGGTCAATAACATCGGATAAAAGTTCATTTGATATGAATTTATCAATTTTTTTCATTGATATGAATTTTTTATCGTCTACAATTTCAATTTTATTCATATTTTTAAAGCAACTATTTTTAACTAGGAATTTTTAACTTTCATTGATGATATTTCTACATCAAATTTATCATAAATTTCATTGAATTCTTCTAATTCTTCAATGGTTATGTTCTTATCTTCTCTCGATCTTTCGAAAAATATAAACAATTTATTAAGATATGTATTTAAAATTTTTGTTTTCCTTTTATAATGAGCTTTCTGTTTTGATGTAAAACCTAAAGTAATCAAACCACAAGATGAAGTTTGAACGGCAGTGAACGCGGCTAATACAGTTGGGACGATGATCGGAAGCATTAATCCACCGGTTACGGCTGTTGCCACCGTTATCCCTATTGTTAAAACTGTACTTAATGTTTTGAAAACAGAATCGATTCTACTCCATGTTTTTCTACATTTGTTGAATTGTTTTAGTTTTTCTTTTAGTTCGTTTTGCTTTTCTATCATGTAGTTTTGTCCGCTTTCGAGTTCCATTTTTAGGTAATTTAATTAAGTGAACTTCTGATAAAGCTGCTAGGTGTTTATTAATAACAACTTTTAAAGATATTTGTTCTTTCGAATCATTAATCTTATTCAGATGAACTGAAAATTTTGGTTTTTCATTATAGATTATTATATTAACATATGCATCATCTCTTATTAAAAAATTTTGTTTTTGTTGACTTTTATGAATATCAATTGAGGTAAATTTACCATTATCAACAAAATATAGTTTTACGTATTCAAAGTCTGTTGCTCGTAAAAACTCATAAAAGCTTTTATCTTTTTTTTGTGGTTCTGGATTTCTAATAATATTCATTGATGGTGGAGTTTCAGTCTCCAATATCATATCAAAATCACTCAATGTAAATTCATCTTTTTCATTATCTGGTATGATTAACATTCTAAACCTATCTATATATTGTCCATTCGTTTTAATTTCATGTGAGTGACTAATCTTGTTGTTTTTGTCGTTAATTTCATATTCTTTAGTTTCTACATTTTTTGTACCATTGATAAACTGAAGAACTTTTTTAGCGTTAAATTTTCTTTTAGGTGCACGAAAGCCTTGTGTGAAGAAGAATGAATCAACTTTTACCTGAAAAGGGAAAGTTATTTCAATTATCAGTTTTCCTCGGAAATCAAAATTTATTGGTTGATAAGGTTTATGAACATCTGGATTTAAAATATCGTGGGGGTGATCAATATTACTTGGAGAATATACTCTAATATTTACTGTAAATCCATATTTTTTATATTCATAGTCTTTTGATTTATCAATATTATCAGTAATAGAAGCATCGTAATCTCTCAATTTTCCAAATGGAAGATTGAAATAATATGATTCTTTCTTGAGAAACTTTTTTTCTAATGCGACTATATTTTTATCCTGTTTTAAAACTAGGTTATTAATAGTGGTTATCTGTTGTTGAATAACACTATCATCAATATTCTGTATTTGTTGATGAATAAAGGTTTTGATTTCGCTATCATCTATCTTTTGCATTTGTTGTTGAATAACAATATCAATGTTCTGTATTTGTTTTTTAATATTTGTTAGTTCTTTTTGTAATTCACTGTTAAGTTTAGTTTCCAGAGCATTTAATTCCTGTTGAAACGTATCTTCATCTGGAATGTTATCTATCAATGGTTGAATGTCTAATTTTTGTTTTGCAATCTTATCCTCTAATTTAGATATTAATGAAATTAACTCAGTTTTATTCGTTATTCGTCAACCAAACCAATATCACGTACCCTACAACGGCCCTGTCTTCCATCGACCTCTACCACCTACCAATCTCCGACCACCAACCAACCCATCTAGCTATATCCCACCCCATCGCCGAGTCTCTGAGTTGGATAGTTTTATCCGTCCAGCAATGAAAACATCAGCTGTCGACGCGAATATTAGATCCCTCAATCGGACATGGCTCTGTAAGGTTACGCAGGTCCTGATCGACCATTACCAAACCACACTTCAAGAGAAGCTGACCACCATTCGTACCAAGTCTTTATCATCACCTGCCGTCGACCGCATCGTTTCTCATGCCCTGTCCTGGGTCCGTCGCTCCTATGGGAAAGGTCTCACTCAAGCTGTAATTTCCAAATTCTACCAAACAATCAACGAAACAAAAACCAGAGTAACCATATCTCTACCAACTGAAATGGACACTACACCTGCACCATCTAGAGCTACCACGCTGCCGAACCAAACCCCTAAATGAGCCCGAAGTTCACCTACCCCTAGTCCAGCAGACATAGGTAAACGCTCTCGTAGAGAGGGCACACCCCTTCTCTTTTCACTTTCAGACTCGTCTTCCCCTTCCACACCATCTGAATCTTCACCACGTGATCCAGGATCCGCCAACCTTTCTTCCTTCTGTGCGTTTTTGGACCAGCAAACCACCCCTCAGTCTCCATCCAAGTCGAGACATGTATCCAGACCTTCCCCTCCTCGAACCAGATCCCAGTCCGTTCCCAATGCCACAATTCTAACAACTACCAAACCAGTACCAATCACACCGTCGACGACCATTATATCCGCTACCCAACCGTATTATCACCAAACCAAGGACAAATCATTATGGAAACTACCTGCTCTAAAGAAATCAACCTTAATAATTGGATCATCTAACCTGAATCGAATTACCAAAACCAGTTCAGACACCGAAATAAATTCTTACCCCGGTGCCCAAATCCATCACATACAGTCAATCCTGGAATCATACGACCATGATCCCAAACCTACTACCATTATTCTTCATGTAGGCCTCAACAACCGTGATCAGATACCAAAGACCTCCTTTAACCAAGCCCAGAAATTAATCACCACAGCCAACAAAACCTTCCCAAACTCCAAAATCCTCTTCACATGTATACCCATTTCAAATAAAATCTCGAAGAAAGCACAACAGAACCTCAGCACCCTCAACAACATGATGATGGAGTCCAGTATCAACAGCGCAACAATCTTACCACCCTACGAAGAAGAATTCGAAACAGTTGATAATCTTCATTGGTCTCCAGAAACAGCAAACAGCATTTATTTGTTTTGGATACACCAGCTTCAAGCATCGAGTAAGTCTTTAAACTAATTACTGGGGATAAAAATACTGAGAGGCCACCGCTAGGCCAAACTGTAGTTAACTTGAGCCGCAAAATTCTCACACCCCTTCAGCATTCAATCTTAGACCGTGGACTTAAGTTTATTCCCACACCAAAGATAGCTAACTTGAATTATCTCCGACCATCCATTGAACGATTTCAACGAAATCTTAGCTGCACATATTTTTTTCGAAACCACCCCCCACGTGGTGCTTGAACAATGTTTATTCCTAAATCCACGTGGACACCCCCTCAGGCCGCCATCCATCCTGAAATATTGAAAGCATTTGCTAGCATGAATAGCCAAACAGTGAACCTTTCCATAACACACGAAAAGCCTAATCTCACACGAGTGGAACGTGAAGCGTTAAACTTACTTAAGAAAGACGATAGCATTGTTATTAAAAAGAGTGACAAAGGTTCATGTTGTGTCATTCTGAATAGGGAGGATTACGTTTCAGAAGCAGAGAATCAACTGAATAATCCTAAACATTATGCCATTTTACCGAAACCAATTTTCAAAGAAACTGCTAACATGATTAATAATATTCTTGCCGATTTAGTCAAAACTAGTTATCTCAAACAGAAACAATATGACTATCTGTCTGCCAAACCTGATTGTCGCGAGAGACATTTTTACACTTTGCCTAAAATCCATAAGAATCCAACCAAGGAGTGGTTTATCTCGAATAAAATCCCTAAAGGCCGNCCGATTATATCTGACTGTGGTAGTGAGTCATATGCAGTGTCAGAATACCTTGATCATTTCTTACTAC